CCCGTGCTCCAACAGACAGTAGTGTTCCCAGCTAAGACCTTCATCGCCCTTTCACCCCTTACCTCCACCCTGTCTGCTTCCCAAGAACCCCCCCACCCCCCTCCACACACACACAGAGCAGTAGCACCTGAGTTGACCCCTCTCCAAAGAACAGAGATAAAAATCATTATAATAAGGAGTGGCCATGGGGCTACCAAGTACCAGGCACACACATTATCTCATTTAATCCTTAGAATAATCCTACGAGGTAGATATTAGTTCCCCTATTTTAAAGATAAACTGAGGCTCAGAGAGACTCAAGGCCACACAGCCAGGAAGTGAGAGAGCTGGGATTTGAACCCAGGTCTAACTCCACTGCCCACACTTCACAAGAGACGAATGAACATCAGAGGGTGTCTGGCCCTGTTGTTCCAGCCTCCCCAACCCTGAGTGTGATTAGGTTCAGCATAATAAAGAATAAGCCCCATGCTTTCCCCAGGAACTCAGGCCCCATTTTGGAGGAAACCAGTTGGACAGTGATGTGAGGTCCCTTTCTCCAACCTGGGTGGGTCCCAATTTGAGAAGGAAATAGGAGACGTGACTGTCGATGAATTTTTCCTTACCTCACCCCACAGCTCTGTCCCCACACCAGGGAAGGGAGCCACACATACTATCCGCATGCCCCTCACTCCAGGAGCCTGATTTGGCCACCCTGGACACCACTGGGGTGGCATGTGATTCCCAAATCTGCAGCCATGTTCTGTGAGGTGAGGGGGTTTCTTACTGCAATCGGTGCAAGGGCTGCAGGGAGACTAATGCCCTGTGAGCAGCTGGTCAGCCAGGCCCCTCCCCACAGGGCCTGAGAAGGTGGTCAGTCTGTCATGCTAGAAACTAAAGGGCCTTAGAAACATCTTGTCCAACTCTCCTGTTTGCAGATGAGCAAAATGGGGCCAGAGATGGCAAATGATTGTGTCACACAGTTAGTGGCAAAAAGAGTGCCCAGATGTCGTGGCACTAAGGGAGGGAGGCAAGAGCAGGCACCCAGAAAGGCTGCTGAGGGGGCATCTAGCCCCCCCGCCTCCATGGATCCCGATACCCGCTCCCCTTTCTGGGATCTCCGCCCCAGAAACCGCCAGGGCACAGCTCAGGAGCACATCCAGGTGTTGTGAAGCCTGAAGCGTGCAATACAATTTGGGCCACCTTTTAAAATAATACAAAATTAGATATTAGAAGGGGCTCATGCACGTGGGCTGCCCGAAGTATGTTTCATTATAGCTTCACGCTCAGTCCGCCTCTGGAAAAGTGGGAGTGTGGGCATGACTCGGAGGGCTAAGCAGTGTGAGCTCAACTGCAGGTGGAGGGCAGGCCCTCTGCAGAAGGTACAGGGAGACCGGTTGGGGGCAGCTTTGGGAGGATGAAGCCATGGACCCTGGGAAACGCCTGACCCAGTGATTCCCCCACCCCAGGGGAGAAGGGGTCAGATTCCCCCACACAGGGCCCATCACTCCTCCCCTGCCTCTCCCTGCACCCGCAGCCCCATCCTCGGGGTGGTGGGATAACACCTCCCTGGGGGCGGCCTCGGAATCGGGCAGTGTCTGGATCTCTGGCCAGGAGAGACATCAGTGGAGGCAGTGCCACGTTCTCCAGCTGGGAGACCCACAGGCATCCCCAGTGGAGCCAGCTCTCAGGAGGCGGGCTGAGGCTGGAGTTGCAGTGATGTCCTCTGAGGAGGAGATGGAGGCAGCTGTGTCCTGGAGGGACCCCCTTGCCCAGCCCCTCCCTTTCCTCCAGACTGGGGTGGTCCTCCTGTGGGTGCTTCCGTCCCCCTGAGCCTGCTGGCAGGTGTGTGAACTAGTGAGCGTGACCCTGATGTTGTCCTCCCCACAGCTGAACTAAGGTATTGTTTCCGTGTGCTCACCTTAGGGTTGGTATCAGTAGTAATAACAATAACTAACTCAGTCCCCGCTGCATCCCCGGGGTGCCGGGCACAACCACCAACGTAACCACAGGGACCTGCCCCCAGCCCTGGTGAGGCTGCTGTGGCTTGTTAGTCATCCTATTTGATAGGAAAAGGAACTTGCAATACATGGGAATTTGAACTGAAACCCATGTTCCTTCCTAACACTATTTTGCTTCTTTAATTACCCAGCATAAAAGCTGACGTTTAGTGATGAAGCTGCAATGGGCTAAATGTACTACAGGCTGACTCATCATCTAATTCAGCCCTCATTGTGCAGACAAAGAAACTGAAGCCTAGGATGGTTAAGAAACTGAAATGGTAGAACTGGACTCTAATTCACAGCTTTATGACTCCCCAGTCTGGGATCTTGACTTCTGTGCTTCATCTGTCTGGGAAAGATCAGGACGTTTGTTGGCACCTTCTTTTCTGTATGTGTTAGGCTAAACCAGGTTTTGCTGCAGTAACATGTAAACTACAAAACCGCAAGGTTCAACATGGTAGGTAGGGAGACAGCCCCTCCATCTGGCAGCTATGCTCCCAGCTCACTGTGGCAATGGAAGTGAGAACTAGAAGATCATAGGGGATCATTTAAAGGCCAGGACTTGAAGTGGCCTACGTCACTGCCAGCATTGGCCAGACTCAGCCCGCTGCAGAACCCAACTTTACTGCGAGGCATACTAGGAAATAGTCTTCCTGGGTCCCCAGGAACAGAAAATGGTGAACACAGCACTCTGCTTCATTATCTTCTTTTTTAATGTCTTCTTTTCGCCAGAAACCCCCGACCTGTGCCCACTGACTGTTACACACCATCCTTCCCTTCTGTGTCCCTTCTCACCAAACTTGTTCTGGGCAAGTTACCAATCAATCTTCCAGAGGTATTAATAGATAATACCCTCAGGAGTTTTTTCTAAGAGTATTTACTTTTCAACCAAGGGTTATTCAAGACTGAAGGCCTTTAAACAGCCAAAGATATGAACATATAATGGTTGAAATTGAGGCCCAATAACAGACAGTGCTGGATATTTGAGGGACATCGTATCTAACTTGACCTGCAGTCTTCAGTCTGGATGGGTATGAAGCCCATCCTTTCCCCTCCCTCTACCTCTGGTCTTGGCTAGGAGGATATTAGGCTACTGGGATGAGCTAGAGCCCATTCTCCATCATGGAGATAAGTGAAAGCTGATTAAGGGGGGCTTGTGATTCCGCTGAAACTCCAGTCCTGGGGCTACCTACACATGCTTCCCTTACTGCCTATCCTTTCCACCCCCTACAGCCAGATCCCACTGTTCTCTTAGAAGCAGGGCATCAGGAATCAGCTTGTTGCCAAATGCCATGCAGGGCCAGAGTGGGGGCCTGACCCCCAGGCAGCTCCCCTTCCAGGTCCTTGGGGAGACTGACATGCTGTGCTTAGGAGCTTCCTGACCCCATCTCCATCCAAGGCAGATGGACAGACCCCTCTACTGAGCACAGGCCTCTTCACCTAGAAGCCTCCCTGGGGCCCAGCACTGGGGAGGTTCATGATAATGCCCAGGCCCACTGTCATGTGACCACAGTCCTGCTCATGTCCAAGGGACTCTCCCCTGTGCTGCTTCACCACCCACTTCCCTGGGGCTCCCAAAGCCCATCCTGTTCCCCCAACTCCAGTGCCTTTAGACACAGCACATCTGGCAATACTGTTCTTTTTGCTCCTAAGACTCCACATCCCATCAGATGCCTGTATAGATAACACACATGTACACACACAAACACAGACCGTACTCAGGTATGCTCAGACATACACTGGTGTGAGTACACACTCCCAGATGTCCTGGCCAAAGACACACAGGCACATACATACGCATGCACACAGACCTGGGCTATGAAGGTTATACGCAAAGCTACACAGACACACACATTCAGATGTACACAGACATCCAGGCTTCTCCATAAATACACAGAGATGTTGAGAATGTACATATGCAAACAGTACACATACTGACTCATGCAGGTTTATGCACATTTACAAACACATTCACATAGACACAGGTATACAGAGATTGTGTACACACTGGGATACATACACACACGTGTACCTGTGTGCTCACAGAAATACTTGTATACTCTCCCCATGCCCCATGTAGGACTTCACCTCAGGAAGTATCTCTCTCTCCCCAACCCCAGCTCTGAGCGCCACTCCCTCTCCCCCAAAACCCAGGCTCTCTGCCCTCTGAATGACCAGTCCCGGGTCTGAGCTTCCTGCCTCATCAACCCCAGATCCTTCCTGGAGTCCAGCATCCTGCCGGGAGCAAACGACAGCAGCTGTGCTCTGAGTGTCCCCAGGGCCAGGGAAAGTGGGGTGAGGAGGAGAACCGGGATGGGGTCCACACTGCCACTTGACGCCCTGACTTGGGCCCCAAGGCCATCCTGGTGGCTGGCAGCTCCCTCCTGAGAATGTGGCTGGTCTAGGGAGGCAGGCTGGGGCACGGGGAGAGGGTGGGGAACAGCCACATCCCTGGGAATGGAGTGGGGAACACATCTCAGAGGAAGCTGGGGACTTTGATCTCACCCACACTTGACTGGAAGAACGGAAAACAGGGGCCTGTTTCTGAGGCCAAGAAGACACAGGGCTGGGGGAGCAGGCTGGGGGAAACAGGCCTGCTTTCCCCTCCATCCCACGTGGTTTGCAGTGGGATCTTACCACTCCCAATTCTTTTGTCAATCACATGCCTCCGTTTTGGAAAGCCGACCCACTCCCTCGCCGCCCCTCACTCCATACTGAACCCAGAGAAGGCAGGAGGGCCGGTCTCCCGCCCCCACTCCCACAAGCCCCCCGCCCAAAAGAGATCTTCCCGCATCTCCTGGGGAAGGGCGCGTCACCAGCGGAGGCGAGCAGGGCTGGCAGGGGACAGCCGCCCTGTCGCGCCCCGCCGCCAGGGGGCGCCGCCCGCGCCTCTGCGCGCTTCCCTGCGGGCCGGATTCACGGCCCCCTGGCACCCAGCGCTTCCAGGCGTCCCCGAGGGAGCGCCCGCACCACCACCCGCCAGAGTGAGCAATGAAGAAAAAGTCAGGAAGTGCTGTGGAAGGTCTGCATTTATGACCAGGACAGGCCTGGGGATGGAGCCCAGGGCCCAGCTGCAGCCAGGAGGGTGTGAAGGGAGGGGGCTCCGAGGCAGGGTCTCCAAGCCACTGGCTTAGAAGGAGCAGACGAAGGGCAGACGCCTTTTGCACGGAGTTCGCCGCCAGTGACCCCCTAGCAGTAGAGAGCAGAGTGGTGTCAGCGAGGGTAGAGGGTGCCCCCCACCCCTCAGGCACCCACATGACACCCCCACAGGCCATCCTTATGCTCTGTCAGCCGTGCTTCCCACACATCCCTGTGGCCAACATTTATGGAGCTCTTCCCCCAAAGGAGGCCGACTGCTAAGTGTGCAGACCACCGTGGGGAATCCTCACAAAGCTTCCAAGGCCAAGGTACTGTGGTCACCCCCACCTCACAGACGACGCAACTGAGGCTTAGTGGGGGCAATAATGAGCCTGTGGCAGAGCTGGGGTGTGAATCGCCTCAGCCTTACTCCAGCACATATGGTCTTAGCCACTGCACTTGGCCCCCTCACATCTGGTGTCCACGCTGCTGGAAGCTGGTGAATTATCTGTCAGTAACCCCTTGATCCTTTGTCTGCACTTTGCATTCACACCTGCTGCTCTCATCTGTCCCCGAAGTCACCCTCATATCGGAGGAGGAAAGGAGCCTGCAAAGGGAGCCTAGCTCTGTGAGGATGGAGAGTCTGCCTCCAGCCCCCACACAGGGCTCCCCATCACCTGGTTTTGCTTTGAGGGATCCCTACCCTTCAGCCCTCTTCTCAGACAGGACCTCCAGGAGGGAGAACAGTGTGAGTTTGGGGATGTGTGTTCAGGGAGCTCAAAGGGACAGTATGCAAGAGTCCACCTTGCCATCCCTTCCCCTTGCCCTGGTGCCCAGGCCCCCTCACCTCTGGTGCACAGGGCCACACATCGTCCTCTCCCGTTGCCAGGCTGCCCTGAGGCCCAGTATCCAAAATTCCAGCTGCTACCATCAGTCCAGTAAAATTTCTTACACAGAAACTAGAGAAATGATAGGCTAGATCAGAGGGCAGAGGTCCAGGAAGACAGACAGTAGATTCAAGGGCTCCAGAGAATGCTCAGTGACTATCTATATACAGATAAAATCTCTAGCTGTCCGCCCCCCCCATCCCGGCTCTCAGCCAGATTCTCTAGAGACCCATCCCTGTGCATTTGCAGCGATGACAATGGAGGAGCAACCATGAGACCAAGTTTACATGCATGTAAATCGCCTGAGAATCTGCTAAAATGCAGATTCTGATTCAGGAGGTCTGGGATAGGGCCCCAAATTGTGCATTTTTAACAAGCTACCCGGTGATGCTGACACTGCTGGTCCATGGACCACCCTCAAGTAGCAAATATAATGGCATTTATTCATCCACAATCCCAGAGCCAGTCTGAGAGAAGAAGGACCCTACTTTGAGGGTCCTTTTCAAGGAACCTCAGAGGAAACCCAGGTTCCAAGGAGGCAGACTAAGCTGGACATGGGCAATATAGCTGGCAAATAGTTAACAACCAGCTAAGTAGGAAGGTGAGAAGGAAAAGGGATGGAGAAACCCTGACTTACAACAATCACTGGTTGCCTTGGTGTAAATACATCCACCATAGCAGATTTTGAGCTACAAGCATGAAGTCACTGAACACAGAGTTGGGAAGAGATTCATACAATCATCGGTTCTCCTGAGCCAATACAAGCCAGGCCAGCACATCACTGCCTACCTCTCTCAGGTCACCTCAGCTGCTGGGATGAGGGTTGATGCCAGCAGATCACTCTTTGAAGCAATCAGAAAGAACATCCAGTTGGTCCTCACTTACCCGGCCCCTGATGATGCCTCCAATCCAGATCTGGCCTTGGTTGATTCCTGAGGTCAAGCACTGGATGCGATAGTTAAAGTTGTAGCTATGGATAGAGATGAGGTTGCCTCGGTAGCACCGCTTGCAGATACGCTGCAGAAAGAAGAAATGGGGTAGTGAATTCACTCTGGTTTTCCTCAAGTCCTTGGGTCTCCAGGAGACAGCCCTGCCCCATCCTTTTACCCGGCAGAAATCAGGGACCTGTTTGCCCCCCTTCAATCCCATCTCTTGCTCCTTTTTCTGCTGTCAGGAACTTCTTACAGGAAATAATAAAAATACTCAGAATAATCATAGCTACCATTTGCAGAGAGTTTACAGTGACCCAGGGACTATTCCAAATTATTTTCATGTGTTATCTCACTTCATCCCCACCACAATCCTTAATGGTTGGAACTATAATCTCCATTTTACAAATGAAGATACTGAAGCTCTGAAAATTGAAGTTACTTGCCAGGGGACCCAGTCACTGAAAGGCAGAACCAGGACTGAACACAGGTATATCTAACCCCAAAACCTCGGTCCGAATCAATGGTTCTCAAAGTGCAGTCCCCAAACCAACAACATCATCATCACCTGGGAATTTGTTATAAATACAAACTCTTAGGCCCCACCCCAGACTTGTTAAACCAGAAATGTGTTTTAACAAGATATTTAGGAGATTCTGACACACAGTAGGCTCTGGAAACCACTAGTCTAAATGAATAGGGAGGAAGGTTGAATCCACTCTTCTCCCCTGGCCTGTCCCAGGGGCCTCCCTGCCACTTACCTGAGCTTTCCTAAACTTCCTGGGGGTCCGCACCAACAGGTAGCGGCAGGTCTTGCACCCAGGACTGCCCTGCCATTGAACTGTGTCCTCTTCCCTGGGGCAGTCCATGTCCTTATCTAGAGCAGCTGGGTCTGACTCCATGGCCTCCCCATCCTCAAAGTCATCTTGATAGCCAGAAGCCTCAGCCTCGTCTGCCTCTGACCGAATCGCCTCCTTGGTCAGGGCCAGCTGTCCTTCCTGCTCCCATGAATCTTCCAGATCCTGGCTCAGCTCTGCCTGTGTCCCTCTGCTTTCCAAATGGGGAGCATCATTCTCTGGGAGGAAGAGGTAACCTGCCATGAGATCGGGCTCTCCCTTCTTCCAGAACCATGGACAGCTCCCACAGCCCACTCCAGCCTTCCTAGGGACACCAGCAGGAGCCAGCAGGGGTCACCTCGGTGTTGGGTGAGGCAAGAACTGTGGTCCCACCCACAGAAGGATGGGAACCTGGCTTCCAGCTGAATGGGAAGTAGGAGGAGGCGCCTGTGAGAAGCCCTTTATCTTCACAGGTGGGTGGTTTTTCCCTGTAAGGGGCCCTGACAGAAAGCCCAGGTCACAGTTCTGATTTCATGGTTCTGAAATCTAACTGGAGATGGGCTGGGTCAGCTGAAGAGGGGAGGCTGTGGCTCTGGTCCCACAAAGGCAAAAAAAAAGTGCAGTCAAGAAGATGGACAAGGAAGGAAGAGAGGCTTACCCAGATGAAGAGCAGAAACTGTCCCCAGCAGGAGAACAGGCAGGAGCAGTGGGTGTTTCATAGCTACTCAGTCTGGTCACAGGGATACAGCTCCACCTTCCCTCCCTGGGGACGAACTGTGTGTCTGCACAGTCCCTGGCACATAGCGGAGATGCACTGTTTGTTTAACTGGTTGCTAAAAGGGCAAACTAGAGCACATCCTTCCCCAGCCCCAGTGAACAGCTCCTGAACGGGAGGATCAGGGGAAGGACATGGAGGTATCAGCTAACATACTGAAGTCCCTTTTTCCTGTGAGCTCCACCACCCCTCCCTGGGACAGCACTGTCTGGCCCTTGTCCCAGCAGGACCAGGTCTGCTCAGGACCAGGGCTGACTTCACTCACACTGGGGAAGAAGGGAGAAGGACAGTGGCCATTACAGTCCTAAGGACAGGTCTCTGAGGTTTGCCATGGAGGCTCATGCTTCCCCAAGACGCCGGACCCCACCTCCCTGGGCAGCTTGAGGAGCACTCACCTCCCGACAGTCAGGCCTCCACTCTCAGTGCTTCTGGCTGCTGGGCCCCACAAGTGGCCTTTATACTGGGCTTTGGGGGAAACAGAAAGAGGCAGGGATGATTGCCCCAGGCCGGTGTGGGGCCAATGGAGCTGATAGTAACAGGTTTGCTCAATCATTGCACCCCTGAGCTCTGCTCTTTGCTAGGACTTCAGGGACCTACCTCCTAGCATCTACTGCCTCATAGGGGTGTACACCCCCCCCCCGGTGTGCTCAAGACCCCAATGACTATTATCCGCATAATTATTAATAGTGCCCCTAATGTGCCCCAGTCTGAACACTCAGCCCCAGGAGCACACTTCCTCTGGTCAATATTCCAACAAATGAAGTGGAAAATCCCAGGGAGCTGGGAGCCCACAAGAGGAGGAGGTGGGGGGGGCAAAGGGAAGCTTCAGGCACTCCTGAGTGTATCCAGACCAGGTGCCTTCCAGGTAACACATCCCCCTCATTCCCATGAGAATGTGTGATTATCCCTACTTCACAGATGTGAAAAATGAGGTTCAGAGAGGGAAAGTGACTTGCCAAGTTTACACAAGAAGTGGGGGGGGCTGGAATTTCTAAGTCTTTGGGGGCTCCGAAAACTTCTGTCTGTTTCCCTTTCCCTCCCTCCCTCCTTCACTCTCCTCCTTTCTCTCTCTCTCTTTCCCTCTCTTTCTCATCTTTAGTATGTGAAAAACTTAACGCTCTTTCTTTTATGCTGTGGATCTAGATCAAGGTCCTCAACCTTTGCGCTACCACTATTTGAAGTCAAGTAAGTCTTTGTTGGGGGGCTGCACAGTGCAGTGTCGGAAGTATAGCAGCATCCCTCGTCTCTACCCACTAGAGGCCAGTAGCACCTCCCCCAGTCATGATAATCAAAAATGTCTCCAGACATTTCCAAATGTCCGCTGGGGAGCAAAACTGCCCCCGTTGAGTATCACAGATCTAGAACATGCGTTTTTGTCCAACCTCAAAACATCTTGTGCCAAGGAGGCAGTCACTGGAATGTAAAGCTTCATGCACAGTCATTTGTTCTGTGGGCCACCCACCCCCCTTACCCCTCCATCCCACTAGCCCACTCTCATCACCAGAGTCCAGACCAGAGGGACATGAGCGAGGCACTCATCTCAGCTGTAAAATTTAAGGAGGCACCAAAGAATTCAGTAGCCAAGATAAATAATATTTTAATGCAATCTCTTATTAAAATCTTTAAAATATTTTAATGCAATCTTTCTTTAAAAAAATAAATGCAAAAAATCCATGATGCACAAAATATCAAAATGTGAATCAGTCAAGCACCAGCCAAATTCACTCTTCAGCTAAGGAAAGGCCAGCAAGTGCTGAGGCCTCATTTTGCTGAATATCACTGCCAAGAGCTAGTGGAGTCGTCAGGGTGGATAACTCAAATCCGTGACATCTTAGCTGTGTGGTGCATGTTTACGCCTCCGGTTCCAGCACAGCTCTCTGGTGCTCTGGGCGCCAGGAACTCTAGACTGCCATCTAGAGGGTGCAAAGGTCTGGCTATCTTCCCCTTCTCTGCTTTCCCAGGGTCCCACAAATAGAGAAGTACCTTAGAGGTCACTTCTGGGCCTGATTGCAGAGTAACGGTCTTGGCTGTTATCTCCCCAGCCCAACGGACCTCAGCTTATCTACCTGACTTTGGGGAGGGGGTATTGGCCAATTCCAGAACCCAAAAACCCAGTCTCCAGATTTCAAGCTTGAGACCTCCCTGGTGGGGGAGCAGGGGAGGGCCAGACGCCTATCCATTATTCTCCCCCATCCTGGGGCCCAGGCCAGGGGTATCATTTCACTCAGTGGCTGGGGTGGCCAATAAGGTGGGCTCTCCTCACAAGCCAGCATGACAATACACTTTACACGTGTCGTTTCTTGTGAGCACCCCCATTTTACAGAAGAAGACATGGCATCTCAGAGAGTTTAAATAAGTTGCTCAAGACCTCACAGCAAGTCAGAGACAGGCCTAAACCCCAGTCTCGCAGCACCTTGTGGCCACCGTCCCTCTGCATCCTCGCACTGACCTCCCTTCTCTACAGCCTGCCCCTCCGGCATTGACCCTGTTCTGTCTGCCCTCAGACCCTGGGCGAAGACACTCCAGTGACTTCACTGACCTCCTCAGAGACCACAGCGATGCCTGAATTAAAACTGGAAATAACATTTTTGAAGGTCCACCATGGACCAAACAGTCTGCTTCATTAAGGCTTTTACACCCATTATCCTACTTATTCACCCTGCACAGTCATCCTACAGGTTAGGTATTGCCATCTCCAGCCCAGATACCCACTACAAATGCTCAGAGAGGTTAAAGGACTTGCCCAAGTTCACACAACCAATAAGCAGAGGTATGCCTGACCCTAGTCCTTCCTTTGATACAGCCAAACGTGTTACCCCCAGACAGCCTAGCCAATGATGCCAACATTTCCAGCATCCACGAAATGCCAACTCTCTGGCTTACTGTTTTCATTTCTATTCATATAGGTTTCAAATGCTGCCTCTTGTCTCAAGATTCCATCCAGCCCCACATTATCCAGAGTAAGGGTCTCGCTGTCTTGAGAGGATGTATAAGGAAATCACAAGTCCAGAATCAGCCTCTTTTTGTCTCCAGTCCCTCACCCATAAACTGAGGCTAATGACAAGACCTACCTCCAGTGAGAGCAGCTCCAGTAAAGCTCTCAGAACAGTGCCTGGCATGTGGGGCTGAGGGTGGCCTCTGTCAGAAAACCAAGACTGTAACTGAGACCCTGATCAATGAATAAGCACTGAACGCTGATTGAACTCCTCCTCTGGGCTTTGCACAGTGTAAGGAACTCCAGGAATTCGTTGTAAGGATGGGAACTGTTTCACAGAGCTTAGTTAGCATCCTGTTGGAGGGAGAATATGACACATGAACTTACATTCTAGTATGTAAGGCCAGCCCTCTTATTTCATTATTATTTTTCTTAAAACTTCACTTGTGGACATGTAACATACATCCTGTAATGTGGACTATAGGGAATATAGACACTCAAGGAATGTTTACAGAGTGGATGTGCACACATAACCATGCCCAGATTGACATACAGAATGCTACCAGGAGCCCAAACACCACCATCATGCCCCCTTCTTGACGTTAATCCAAAGGGGGTTGCCATGGACCCGAAGTCACACTTCTATCACAACACATACTCCAACAGCAGATATTTATGAAGAATAAGATAAAGGCCACCTACCACTTAACACAGGGCCTGGCACCTAGTACACGTTTAACAAGTGGGAGATTCTGTTACTCTTTATTATTCCTATTGGAATAAAGGGAAGCAGTGCTTTCCCACAGCAGAATATAAAGTCTGTGAGGGCGAGGAGCCAAAGTTCTACTTGAGCTGCCGTCCTCCAGGGCCCCCAGCACAGAGCTGAACCCTGAATGCATTTAAGAATTCTACCATCTCTGAAGTCAACAGACTGTTACGGAACAGAGTTACAATGCACCTCAGTTTGATTTCTTTCTCAACTTAACTGTGCAAACTTAAGCAAGTGGCTTTTCCTATCTAGGCCATATTCAAAAAAAAGTTCTTGCTTTGCTTCTAAGACCCTGATGCCATCTGTAATTCTATGAATTTATGGAATCCCAGAGGAAAAGAACTTCAGAGAAAGGACCTCTTACTTTCTGCTCACCTCCCAGACAAAGAATTCAGAATATCTTCCGTTCTCACCTCTGATTGCAACTCCCCATCTCCCTGTGGGTTGAGGCATAGGCCTCAAGACAAAGCCAAGACTTTGTCCTGCCTCCCCCTGTGCTTCAGCCCTATATGATCATGGCCAACACTTCCAGCCATGGAATCCCAATGACTAAAAGGACTGCTCCCAAAGCAGAGAGTCGAATCACAATATTGGTCACATTTAGATGTCCAGCCTTGAGCAGGTCTTTTAACAGGTCACAACTTCTCTGAGCCTAGTTCTATAAAACAGGATAATTATTAATGGTCCCATAAGGTCATCTTTGTAAGGTGCCTGCCACTGCAGGGATTACTTTGCGGGTGTGCCATAAGAGGTGACAGTTAGTCAATGTTGTGTTTATATTATAAGCAATGGCATGTTCCCAAATGGCAGGGGCTGTGATTTGTTATATTCCCAGGCTTTATATACAGTTGAACATAGAATGGGGTGTCTTATACTGGGTTTCCCGAGAAACACCCTAAGACAAATAGTTTACTTGGGAGGTGCAGGGACACTAGTAGGGAAGAGGAGAATTCACATGGGGAAGAGAAGGCAGTCAATGAAATGTGTGTTACAGAGCAGCTACTTCAGTGGACAACTGAAAATTAATCCTACTGGGAAGCCCTAGGAAACTGCCTGATACATACCTTACAACTTTTCCACTCTAGAGGCAAGGGATTAGGGCATGCACACCTGCTCCTGAGAGTTGTGCACTGTTCCCAATGCTAATTTCCTGGCACATTAAGGCAACCACAATTTGTGGGAGGGAAAAATGCCCTTGGGCATAGAGATGCAAATACATTTAAGACGTTGAAAGCCCACCTTGAAAGGGTCCAGGGAGATGCGTGGGCAGGTGCCCAATAATAGGGTATCTATGGAAAGAGCCACCACCTGAGTCCATTCCTCTGTCTCCAGGAAGGCCCCACAGCACCCCTGTCCTGTGTTCCTTTCTCCCTGAGAGTGTTGACCTCTGGCTCCTTTTATGAAAAACAGTAGAGTGGGGAGGGCAGTCATCGTGGGCCAGGAAGTTCATGAGTGGGGCTAAGCAGAGTAGATCAATGATCAGAGGGAAAATATCCGTTTCAGGAAAGCAGTTTTATTGCTGGGATGGAGGGAGGGCGGCAAGTAGGGGAGGAAAGTGAGCTTCCCAGGGAGGCGGCGGCTCTGAAGTCCTGGCTGTGTCCAGCTCAGTAGGAACAGATAAAGGGGAGATTCCTGCTGCAGAGAGTTCGACGCCATTGGCCCCCTGCAAAGGCAGAGCGGGAAGGGGACTTCAGCCTCTTGTCCACCTGACTCAGCCCCAGGAGGGCCTTTCCCCTTCCCGCCCAACCCCACACCTCCGTAAAGGTGGAGTCTAAAGATCCAGGTCTTCTTCTGCGCACGTCTCCACGAGTCCCTCCCACATCCCGGGCCTCACCGCCATTCAGCTCTGCTCCTGCCTCACCTCGGGTACACAATGACACACATCTGCCACCATGAGCCCAGGGCTGGCCGGGTGCCCAGTATGCAAAGTTCCAAGAACTGCCGTCAACCCACCGAAAACGTTTGCAGGAACCCTAAAGGAGGCAGGAGGGGAAGAGGTGGGCTAAGGCATGGGGCAAAGGCCAGACAGAAGGACAAAGCTGGAAGTGTCCCTGTCTGATCCTCCTGATACCTGTCAGGCATTTGCCCTTGACTGCTGGACCATGGTGGACACTATCCTGGTCACCAGCATATTGGTCCACAGTGACCATCACCACCACATTCCGCGCATCTCAGTTACGCACACATCCTTCCGGCCCTCACGAGTTGGAGCAGGAGTTAACAAGAGGTAGAGAGGTAGAGTAGCCCCATCCAAGAGCCGAGGACCCAGGCTCACAGTCTTGCCCAAGTCCCATAGACAGAGGCTGAATGGAACATGGACACAAACTCCTCATTCTAAATCCTTGGCTCCTCCCAGTGCCTGGACAGCCCCCCTTGGGGTCTCACCCATGTGTCCATTTAGCCCCAATTCTTCCGAAGATCATACCGGAAGCACAGACAAATCCGCAGCCAGCTGGGCACTGGATGGAGTCAGGAGGGGCTCCCCACTCAGTGCTGGAGCCCCTCTTGCCCTGCCTGTGACCAGGCCTCCAATCCAAACTTGGCCCTGGTTGAGCCCCCTGACTGCACACTGGATCCGGGAATTGAAGTTGAAGCTGTGAATGGAGACCAGGTTGCCCCGGTAGCACCTCCGGCAAGTAAGCTGCAGGCAGGATAAGAGGGAGGGGTTGCCCCTCCCACCACAAGTCAGGCGACCCCAGCCTTGGGTCTCCAGTCTCCACAATTCACCCCCTCACCCCCTACCCACCTCCATTTGAAGGCTGGAGATCAAAATGCCCTTTCTGTTTCCACACGGCCCTCCCCTCTTGCCCCCATCTCGTCCGCAGACCTCAGCCCTTGCTGACACCTCCGTGGTCCTCCATGAAGAAAAGTATCAGGGACACAGAGGCTAGAGGCATCCCCAGCCAGACCCCACTGAGGCCTCGGCCACAGCCACAGGCCACTCACCTCAGCCTGATTAAAACTAAAGGCCCTCCGCACCAGGAGGAAGCGGCAGGTTTTGCATGCAGGGCTGCCCACCAGTTTCACTGTGTCTTCCTCCTTAGGGCACTGAAGGTTCTTGTCCAATTCATTCAAGGCTGAGACAGACTCCAGAGCCCCCTCTTCCTCAGGGGCACCTTCACTTCCAGAGCTCCAGTCCTCTCCCGTCAGCAGGGGGGCATCCCCTGCCTCAAGTTCTGGCATCTCCTTATCCTGAGGCAGGGTCTCATCTCCCAAGGAGCTCTCAAAATTGGACATGTCAATCTCTGGCAGGGAGAAAGGCCAAGTGCCCCTCCTTGACATCGTCTCCAGTTCTTCCCCAGAACCATGGACAGTTCCCACCTTGCCCCAGGTATCTGAGCTTTCAACCCAGGAAAGAGAAGAGCCTGGAACCAGTCTCATTGAGAACCCAAAGTCAGGCAGGCAGGAAATTAATAGCAAGGACTCAGGGTCAGGCAGTTGTGCATTTGGTACCAGTTGCATCATCTACTAGCTTTATGTCTTCGTTTGTGAATGGGTATATAATACCATGTACCTCGTGAGGAGGCTATGAAGGTTAAAGGAGACAATGCATAGGAAATGCTTAGCACACTCAGTGAGCTCAAAGCAAAAAGCAGCTATTCTTACAGCCATCACTAGCATTATGTAGAAAGGACAAAATTGAGAACGTCATAGTAGCACCAAGATCGCAGACATGCATGTTCTAAGGAGTCCATTCAACTCCTGGCTCTAAAATCTCTGCTCCTCTAAGTATGCAGATATCCTGAAACAGGGGATGGCCACACAAGGAGGTGGCTATGTGACTCCGATTCCATTTATTATAGAAATGAGCAGAATAGAAAGAAAGATTGAAGGCCAAGGACACTTACTCAGATGAAGAGCTGATATGGCCCCAAACAGAAGAGCCAGAAGTACAAGTTTCATCTCGGTGTTGTTCTGCAATGGAGAACATGGTGCATCACACAGACACACACACACACACACAATGGCCACATCATGCGGGGACTTTGGATTGAGGTGGACAAAGGCATAAAAAGAAGTCAGGATGGGCCAGAAAAGCTGACACTGAGCCTAGCCCCTGACACTCCAGGACGCTGGGACATCTTTCTGAAAAGCAGCAGACCAGGTTGGCTTTCCTGTGGGCCTGGATGTGAAGATGGGAATATTACCTTTGTACTTAATGTGCTCCTTAGAGTCTGTGAAACAAAAGAGGATCAAGAATAAATGGTTGCTGGCCTTCCTAGGAACACAGAGCAGATAGCATGCCACCCCTACCCCCGCTGAAAGCTCTAAAAGCCACATACCGTCCCCAGCCATGGCCCATGCCCTCCACCCTCTGCCTTCCCCAACCAAGGAGGGCCTTTACGTGTCTCAGGAGGAATGCGAGAGGCAGAGGGTGAGAAGGCTTGCCTCTGCCGACCCTGCAAATCCACAGTCCCAGGCAGCCATCTGGAATTGCTCAGACTGGGCCAGGCGCCTCCCAGGAGATTGAACATCTACCTGGAACACTGAACCAGCCACACTGCAGGAGGGAAAGAACTTACCCACCCAGAAGTCCTCCTGGGTCCTGAGGATTCCCCACAGCCTAGCGTCTCCTCTGCTCCATCCCACGGCACTGTTTTATAGAGGGGCCTTGGGGGAAGTTGTGCAGAGGAAGGAGGGTTTGCCCCCATCTGAGGAAGATGGGAGTCTTGTAAGAGTGGTTTCTTCACTTCCCCGGGGAGTCCACTCATCCACTACTAGATTCTCTCCTGATGCGCCTTTCAGGAAACTGGAAGCTGTTCTGAAATTACTCTGGGTCAGTGTTTCTTATGCTGGGCTGCCCTTCTGATCTCCTATGGAGCTTTTCCGAAATACTCAGCTCTCCTCCTTTACTGGTGGTAATGTGAACTGCCACAGGACTTTTGGAAATAAGCATGTCAATATCTATTCAAATGAAAAGTGCACATATCATTCGACTGATTTCATCCTTTGGAGACTATCTGGGGATGAAAGCACCTGTAAGTAAGAACGCTTGCAACATTATGCACCATTTTACCATTTGTGGGCATGGTTCCGTGAAAACAGGGAAACTACAGTCCCCTGGATGAACTGGTGGTGAAGGAATGGAAGGAACCAGGGCACTCCAGGTAAAAGGATCAGCATGGGCAGAGGTATGGGGGTGGGATGACTTTGGCAGACGCAAGGGACAGCGTCCTTTCCTTCGTAACTAAAGTGCACACGTTGACAAAGAGCAGGATAAACAGAAGAGATAACATTCCACCATGAGCCAAGGAATGAGATACCCTTTTGCTATAGCCACCAACTTAAGGATACAGAAGCAGGAATCAAGGGGATGAGTCAAGAAGGGTCCAAACCGAGAGCTCCGAGCTGCATTCTGCTCACTCCCATCCCCAGGCCCTCCCTGCAGCCCAATTTTGAGTGTTAGACGGAGCTATTACAGTCAAACAATGACAGGATGGGACTGATTCCTGAGGCCCACTGTGCTTGGGCAGCCCCACCACAGGGGAGGTCTCTTCTTTAGGTCACACAATCCAGAGTCTGAAATCCACAGCTTACTGGCCTTAGAAATTCCATTTCATTAACAACCAGTGGGAGTTTAAAGTAGTGGCTGACAGTGTGCTTTCCGGAGTCAGACAGTCCAAGTTCAAATCTAGGATCTGCCACTTCATAGCTGTGTGACCTTGGACAACTTTCTTAACCTCTCTGTACCTCATTAACATTGCTTTTAGAGTGGGGATAATGATACCCACCTCACTGGGTAGTGAGAAGGAATGCATGAGATTATGTATATGTAGCAGACATGCTGTGAGCTGCCAGGCCCCCTTATTTCTTCTGGTTTCTCGAATTCCACTTCCTATTGATCTTGGCAGGCCTTTCATTCTTGAAGAAGAAAGTGTCAAATAGATTCCCAGCCTCCTTTGCAGCTAAGGCATAGGACTAGGCCACTCTATGAAACAGAAACATCCATTCAAGACTTTGAATACGGAGCTAGAAAACACGGGAGCCATGAAAACCTCTCTCTGGTGGTGGCAATGGCAAGGTCAAGTTCCTGGGGCTTCAGTGGCTATAGTGCTAGAGGCTGGATCCAGGGGCCAAGGGTTTCAATTACAAGCAGCAGTAGTGGGGCCTTCCCAGACCCATCTGCAGCCTGCAGTTGTAGGAGCTACCCCACTTCCTTTTAATAGACTCATTTTTCTACTCAGATCAACCAGGGAGAATTTCTTTTGCCTGCCACTAAGAGCTCTCACTGATGCAGCACTCAGGAAATGGCATTAGTTATTGCTCAACAAATGATAGCTACTCATGTTAGTAGGCCTGGAACTGGTCAACATCTTTAGGGGCCGACCCACATTAATCAAATTCTCAAAAGACCAATGTTTGCATTTGGTGCCAAACGCCATAATTTAGGTTGACCTGTACTGACAAAGGGCCCACTTAGGGCCCTCTGAGCAGCATTCTCTCCCTGCATCACAAGCTACAGTGTGCCCAGTATACCTAGATTCTGAGCGGGAGCAAAGAGCCGGATGTCTTGTAGTCCATGCCTCTGAGGAAGGGTGCCTGATGGCCATCATCTTTACTCCTGCCCTCTTTCCCCACAAAGTGTCAAATCAACACTGCAGGATCCTGAGTGTCAAGAGTTCCCCTTTCTGGTCCCAAAGTTACTATGGGGCTTGAGTGTCCCTAAACAGACCATTTCTTTACCAGCACTCCAGTAGGGCATTTCTAACAGACAATCCCTATATTTCAGCTTTCCTAATTCCATTCTCAGGAACTCATCCCAACTTTAGGCTCATGGGAGAACTTGTGCCCTGGGACAGCCTCTCCAGGGACAGACCTGGCACTGAGGGGTCTGCCTTGCCACAACTGTAGGCTGCTGCATATCGTGTACAATATGTGTGTGCAAGGCACTTAGTGGAGGTCACCCTAGCGATGGTGGTCAATAGCAGAAAAGTCTGCTTCACATCTTTCCCAGGACCAACACACAACAGCTTGAAGGTAGAAGACTGCAGCTGCGAATACCCGGCTCGCACTGTTCCTTCATCTCCACTTGCGTCCCTCCCCAAACCCTGCCCCAGGGTTTATCAACCTGGACTTGATGATCTGGGTTAAGGGGCCATGAACTGTGCAGTCACAGAGGACATATAGTGTGATGCTTCCATGGTGAAGATCCAAACCTTTCATGAGATTCTTTTGTGGCCTCCAAAAATGCAAAACACCTCTACCTTTAACGGATGATTTGTTTTCAGATGGCTAGGAATGGCCTCCAGTCTTCACTAATAAAGTACTGCTTGGCTCTTGTGATAGGTAGAAGTCTAAGATGCCCCCAAGATCCTTCTCCCACCCTGGTACATGGATGCTGCCCAATCCTTGGGACTGTGAATATGGTGGATCTTACTCCTGCAGTTGTGCTATGTTATAGCATAGTTAATTGACTTTAAGAAAGGGACACTATGCAGGTGAGTCTGACCTAATCAGGAGAGCTCTTCCTGAAGTCAGAGATTCCACACAGGAGGGGAATTCAGGCCAAAGGAGATTCCCCACTGCTGCCTTAGAGAAGGGAGGGGGCCATGTAACAAGGAATGCAGATGGCCTCTAGGACCCGAGAACAGCCCCTCTCTGACAGCCAACAAGGAAGCAGGGATCTCAGTCCTATAAGCACAAGGAACAGAATTCTGCCACAATCATGTGAGCTTGAAAGAGGATCCTGAACTCTAAATGAGAACACAACCCAGCAACACCTTTACTTTAGCCTTGTGGAACACTGAGCAGAAAACCCAGCCATGCAGCTTCCACATTTCTGACCTACAGATCTATGAGCTGATTAATGACGCTCTATCTGTGTCAATTTGTCATGCAGCACAGAAGACTAATAAGATTTTATGCAGTATAAAAGGCCCATTTCCTTCCCAGGATGAAATTTATAGTTGGTGCCATTGGTAGTAGAAGGGATTGGCACAGGGGAGGGTCCCAAAGGAACGGGCTTGAGTACCTGCTGGAGGCAGCAGGTCAGGAAACATGGACAGAGAAAGAGAGGTTTAATTTAGGCCAGAGGTCCCACCACCCTTTCCCTCAGACTATAGAAGCCCCTTCTAGTTCTAAATTCTGCCCTCAGAGAAGTGATGGACTCCATGGGCTGGACATTCAGGGCTGATCAACCGCTTGCTAACCGGACTTGGCCAACATCCCTGTGGGGCAGATAAGAGGTGGTGAAAACACTAACACCATCCCAGGGGCGAGCAGCCCAAGCGATAGGGGCTTGGGCCGTTGCTCTGTGAAATCAGCCTGTACAACAGTTGCTCTTGACACTTCCCCATTTGGATGCCCCAACGACTGACATAAACCAAGAGTGCTGGAGCCTGCAGGGTCCAGGAGATGCCCCAGATGTCCTGGTTCCTAGCTACAGGGCTCTTCCTGCTCCTACACTTGCATACCCCTCTTGCCCTCCATGCACCTCTTCTCCCAGAGACGGAACACACAGCAAGGTTAGAAGCAATATGTCTTTGCAGTCGGTGCCCCTCACCCACCCCACCTTCTACCTTCACTATCTCCCAGTGCCTCTACTTCTCTCCATGTCTGCTGTCACCCCCCAGCTCAAGTCGCCTTGTTTGACAACATATGTCAGAGCCCATCATCCCCATGTTTTCTATTCAGTATCTTCCCAGCAATTAACCCAAACTCATTGCCAATGCCTGCAAGTGGTAGTCTGGCTCTTGTCTACGTGTCCACCCTCACTGGTACGAGTGACACTTGTCATACTAGTTTCAGCTCCATTGGCCAAGCTAAAGCTTTTGCACTGGCTCCTTCTTGTCCATCAGGTCCCAGCTCAAAGGTCACTTCCTCAGAGAAGCCTTTTCCAAGTACTCTTTCTAAATAAGCCCATCCATCCATCTAGTTACTTTGCTCCACATCATCCCATTTATTTCCATCGGAGCATTTACCAAATCTTGTTTATTTATTGGTTTCTTGTTTATCTGTCTCCCCTAATTGGAAATAAACTCCATGAGAACAGAGATTTTATCTATTTTATTCACTGCTTAGAACTCTACCCAGATCATAGAGTTTTTCAATTTTATGTTGTTTATTAACCAATTGATTAATCAACTTGAACTTTACTCCCTGAAGAAAGTTCGGTTTAAGTCAGAGTGTTAAGTCCATTAATTGCTATTCTGCAGTTGTTTTTCTGAGTTCCACCTGCCAAGGGCACAAACCTGGGATAGGCTCTGTTCTCTAGATTATTCATTTATTCATTCATTTCATTCACTCAACAAATACTCATAGATAGTCTCTATTCTTAGGGAGATTAAATGTAGCTAATAAAGCAAGACAGAATGAACCTATTAGTCAGTCAGTAAAACAAGGCACGATATTGAGTGGACAGTTAGAAAGACAGAACTTCTTCAACCTGGAAGGTATAAACTTTCAGTGCTAGCAGAGTCACTTTAAGGGCAAGCGCAGGCAGAGAAAGCTTCCTTGAAGAGGTGTTCCTTGGACTGGGCTCTGAAGGACTAACAGACAGCAGAGAAGAGACAGAGGAGTGTGAGGCAGTTGGAGAGCCATCCCATGGCCTGGTGCTGCTGGAATTGGAGCCCGGATATAGATGAATCAGTGTTTCCTGGAGG